GGAAACCATATTCTGACGTTGAAACGGAAATAATTGAAACTGGGTTTACGGCGTTTCAGCAGAACAACGAAGAACAAGTGGTCGAATTAGACAAATGTATAGTTGATCTAAACCGTTATTTACAAACCTCAAAAACAGATAAACAAAATCAAGGCCCAATCAAACGGGTGGCAGTCAGTTTAAACGATCGACGTTGTCTGAGAAAAGAACGATTTTGCATTCCGGAACTTCTGTCGCCAGAACCGATGTCACCAGAATCGATGTCTCCAGAGTCACCATTGTCTCCAGAACCACCATTATCTCCAAGATCATTCGTTGATGAAGGCCGTTGGGTATCGCCGAAGTTTGTTGAACAATGGGTCAAAAAGAATCCTCGTGTCTCGTTGTCTGATCGCGTTGAACAAGTAGTACAGGGCATTTTGATCGAAGGCGAAAAAGCAAACAGTTTGTGTGAAGCCAAACACATCGCCAAACAACTGAGAGACCTTAAAGAAAAGAAATGGGAAGAAATATCAAAATTTTGCGTCTATTTGTACACTCGCGACTGCTTTGTCTATAAAGTGTTGAAAATAAAACCTTACGAGAAGAAGACATGTCAAAAGTCGACACACTGGGCTCGTTTTGTGACTTTTTGTGGAACAGCCCGTATGCGAACGTTTTCAAACGAAATCAATATAAAGGTCTGGTTTATCGAGGTGTCTTGCTCGATCCCCATCAAATTGAATCATACAAGAACGCTGTTGGAAAAGGTTCGAAAGAATGGTTGAATTTTTCGTCAGCCAGCAAAAATCGTGCACTAGCAGAAATCTATGGGAATACATTGTTTGTAATTAATATCCCATCAAAATCTCAGCCTATCGATATATCATCAGTATCAAATTTTCCAGAAGAAGAAGAAGTGCTTTTGCCGGCATCAACAAGTTTTCAGATTGAAAAAGTTGAATATGACGAAAATGCAAAAAAACACTACATTTACTTACGTGTTCTTTGGTGAGAATCTGCACAAAGCGATGTATCAAATCAAACTTCAATTATGTAAAATATGATCTACAGAAAAGCACATATGATGCTTGTCGGGCTATATAGTATGAAGCTGAGCTTTTGATATTTGGGTAGTCTCGCGGAGCTTCAGATTTAAGTAGAATCTAAAGCAAATCAATTCACCCATATAGATCAGCAACATCATAAGAAAAAGTCTTATATATGCTTGTTAGTGGACCCACTACGACAATGGTAATGGAAATTTTATGCGTTTTGAGGGAAAAATGGATTGATTTGTTCTTTATTTTCTTAGTTAGTATTATGCTAATTTGGGTTTTTGATGAGTAGTAAAAGCTTTTTAATGTTTAATTTTATTATTTAGATTTTGTTTTTAAAATTTAATTGTGAAGATTGTTTGTTTATGAATAGAGGGAGATATAGAAAATAATGTCCAATTTCTAATTGAAAAATTGTATTTTCTTTAAAGTTAAGCTATTTATAATTAACGGGTGTCCCAGAATAAAATCGGTCACTTAATATTTTGCTCATATCTTAATTGGATTTTATCCCCTAAGCTTTGTTGTTTTCTTAAAAGATGTGTCGTAAAATTCTCTACAAAAAATATATTAAACATTTTTCTATATATCATAAAGAGAAAAGAATATCGAAGAAATACTGCGAAGCTTCGATCTCGATTACTTTGCAACTCAAAAAACAATTTTTTCAATTTTAGTCCTTCATACTTTGTGAAACAAAAAAACAAGAAGATGGCCATTTGATAGCCCTTGAAAAG